TACAAATGCCTAGCACTAAGACTGGCCTTTATTTAAAAAAGGTACGGATGTAGTACGCCGAGCTGCTGAAACTACAATACGTTTGAAAATATCAAGAGGGCTAAACCTCTGGCCTTAAAGGCAACCAGCAACCGAGAGAAAACTCGTAAAATTACAGTGGCAAGCGGCTTGCTTCCTAAAACTCCTTCTCTCTCTCTCTTGGCAAAAAGCCACAACTTAAGTACTTGGGCGTTAGCAAGACAATTTGCATAAACAAGTTAAAGCATTTAATTCTGGCCGGAAGTACAAAATAAGAAGTGATAGTACAGTTTTAAAATAAAATAAACGTTAGTAAAACTTAGGATCCTTACATACTTCCCGCCAGAGTTAATTAGTTTGAAACTGAGGTCTAAAACGACCTTGTTGAAAACTTTTAGCTCTAGATTCTAAATCTAACGCGAGGCCAATCTTTTACAAACACTAGAAACTATCTAACCTAGAAATTAAAAGTCGTTTTTACATGATCAATTCCATGGACAATTACTTTTCATCTGTACTGCATCTACAAAGAGGAGTTTTTCTTAGTTGAATTTGGTTCCTTCCAGAGATCTGAAAGGAAAACTAGTTTAATGAAATGTTAAACAATGAAATGGCAAGTAACATGAACACATATATCGTTCTTTTAAAACTATTCTTATTTCATTCATGTCATTATTTAATTATCTCCCCGTGCTCTCTGACATCTGTTGTAAAGAGAAACACCAACCACGTGCGTGTCTATGTGCAAGTGTTCAACTCTACCACCTGCAATCTAAATACTAACGTGTTGAAATTCAACATAACAAGACCTCAGAATACACCTTATATTCATCTCTGAACCCTGAGGTACTATTCTCAAAAAGTGGCAAACTCTGAAGTGTAGCGTCAGAGAGCCTAACTACATTCATTCAACCTTTAGAACATATCCACAATACTTTGCTCTTTTTACGCCACATAAAATTCAGCTGTAAAATTAAAAAATATTTAAAACCAATAGCTTACAATTCCGGATAGAGTATTAAATGTTACCATACATTTTTCTTTCTTTTATTTTTCATCTCACGAAATGTTTGTTTTACTTATTATACTTTCCGTACACAGTTTGGCTTTACACTGATTGTTTGTGGTGTTAATTTTTCCACTGTTTTGTAGAAAAGAAATGTAACTGCTTTAGACGAGGCCCGGTTATTACGCTACCTGGTTGCTACACCCTCCCCCCTTTAATGGGTGTTGGAAGTCAAAAATTTTCAGTATAGAGGTTTTCGACTCCCCTTAAACACGAGTTGACTCCATTCTTACATTAAATAATTTTTGGCTTGGAGATGTAAAGGAATTTAATTTTTATGATAAATTGTAGAATAGAAAATGATGTTAAACTTACGCAAGACTGAAAAAGCCAGTTTTTTTTTTTTTTTTTTTACATTATTTTCTTTCATCTGAAAAAGCTTTTCATTAAAAACTCCTTTTAAATTGTAATATAAAGTTTTCAGATTGTATATTTTTACTCATGCGTGTATTCTGATTACATCGATAAAGAACCGAAAAGCGGAGTTATTTTTAAATCAAATATTACTCGAGTAGGCTGTTTTGTTTTTCATTTTCCATCACATATCAATGTATTAAACTCTAAATATTTGTCTCAAATATAAATTGCATAAAAGGGAAATCTCTGGAATTTGTTAAATTATTGTTTTTGTGATAATATTCGCGATGCATTCTTGGAAGAATAAAAATATTTTGCGTACTTTCTTTATTAAAAAATGTAGTGAATTGCATGCTTATTGGGAAAAGTCCATTTTGTTTTCCAATAATACTTCTTCATCATAACTGGAGAAGAATTAAATAAAAGCAATCAAAAATCTCTTGATTATAGCTTTTAAACGTGTGTGTGTGAATATGGCAAAGCCTCGAGGGCTATCTTCCTAAGAGGAGGGATGCCTTCATGGAGGACTTTCTAAGGGACTGGCTCGTATACACGTTACACATGGGGAAAACCATTAAAGCGCCCATGAAGCCAGCCCGGTCGCGGGATTCGAACCTCGGACCGAACTACCAGTGTTCAGCAACTTTACCGCTCGGCCGCTGGTGGGCTGCTTTTAAACGAAACCATTGTATCTCTTCCGGTTAACAGCAAATGAATTAAACGGGTTGCTACGGGAAACGCAAAAATGAGAACAAAACTAAATGAGATAGCAGTAGTCATAGCAGAATAGATGCAGTAACTGATGTCACAATATTTAAGATATTTTTGTATTAAAAAATAAATGTAATTTAATTATACATAAATGGAATATATAAATATTGCTAAATCAGCCTTTATACATAAATTTCTGAATTACAAAAATAATTCAATTTGCTAGTTTATACTTTCTGTTTCTCACTGATTGGTATTGAACGCAAGATGAATTTAAAATAATTTATTGAATGGCTTAGAGCCACTTTGGTAAATTTTGTGTTAATTTTTTTTTTCTTTTTTTCTTTTTTTTTTTTTTTTTTTGTTAAAACAAAATTGTTTTTTACATTTGAGTAGCCGAAAAAAAATAATTTTTACTAGCATTGGTAATGATATCAAACTTTTGGAATAAGTTAAAAATGAATTTTTTATTTTCTTTAATTTTCCGAAAATTAAAAAATATAGAGCTGAGCCCTTCTTACTGCAAACCCTTCAATTGTTATTTTAAGATCTTATAAACTTTTAGTTTACGATATTTTTGGAATTTTATATACATTTGTTTACTAGGGATCCTGATAATGTTTTAATTTATTTTACCATTTTTGATGCGTATGCAAACAAATATTGCCATTTTGATGCGTATGCATATTTGTATACATATACAGAGGGTGTTTACACATTTTTGGAACGACTTTAGTTTCTCCATGAATTTAAATATCAATTTTATAATACAAACGTGACTGACATCAAATTGGAATAAGGTTTAATTACGATCTACAGCATTCGTTTTTTTTTTTTTAAATATCGCTGAAAAATAAGCAATCGATCGAAGGCTATATTTTTGCTCAGTTCGAAGAGGAATACTATTATTCAATTAATAAAAAATGTAAAACTCATGGTTTTAGTACTTCTGCACGAAAAATAAAGTTCAAAATAAGTGACGTAATTAATATGAAAAGAAATCTGACTGCGAAAATGGCAAAATCTGCCTACCAAAAAAATGCTACGTACAGCTCTTATTAAATCTAAAGTCGCATCTCATGTTTTAAAGAAAAATCCCGCCAGCAAAGAGCTATTGCAAAATCTTTAAATATCTCTGTGAACAAGATTATAAAATGCGATTTAAAGCTAACAAAAGCAAAAAAAAAAAAAAAAAAAAAAACTCAGCGTAAGGCTATGTGCAGATTTCTGTATGAAAATTATTCGGCAGGTGAAAAATGGAAATATATAATTACAGTTGAGGAAGCTTGGTTATTCTTATCTAATTGCAATAGGAAAAGATAAATTTTCCTGCCAAAAAGAGGACAAAAAGACTTGATACGTTGTTTCAGAGAACACAAGCAAAATTTTGCTAAATGTTTTATGGTTATTACTGGATTCTATTGCCCCGGAAAACTTAAAATAAAGAAAGTAGGAAAAATGTCAAAATTTATTCCGATTAAAATAAGAAATATGTTTTAACACCTATTTTTAAAGAAGAAATTCCATCTCTTTATCCAAACAATCTTCACCGTTTTAAGTTTCATCAGGATAAATCTCCAAGCCATATTTCTAAATCTACTGCTTTATTTTTTGAAATATTGAATAATAAAACCGGAATTTAAGCTGTTCCCTTTAAACGAATCCTACTGAAGTCCTTTGATGTATCTCTTATAGATTATTGTGCATTTGGACTATTAAAACAAGTTCTTTATAATTGGCATCCCAAACATTGGATGGATTCTGAAAGATTGTGAAGGGGGAGTGGAATAAAATCAGCCTTGATTAAGAAAAGGTCTATTACCTTGTAAATAAATATATAATAATGATAATTCACCAAAAGGGCTTTCAGATTAAACATACTATAAAATTAAATTCTAGGTTTGTTCAGGTATAAATCTTTGCCAAATCGTTACAAAAATGTGTCAACACCCTCTGTATGTACAAGTGTTTACATATGCATAGACTTAAAGAATCTAAAGTTAGAGGTAAATTAGAGTCAAAGCAGAGGATATACTTCAACAATATTAATAATAGCAATCATGTATAAGTAGTTTAGCACAATATCTAAACATATCAAAATTAAGATAAGGATTCACACTAGTACAAATTGTAAAAATAAAAATTAAAAATGAAAATGCAAAATTGAAAATATTCAAGATAATAAAATATAAAGTATTGTGTGTGTATACATATATATATTTTATTAGTAATAATTAGAATTAGAAACGATAATATATTTTTTAAATTTCCAACTTATGTTTAAAATAATTGAAATAAATCCAATTTTCAATATTTGCTTTTGGTCTTACGAAAATGAAAGTGGAGAAGAGATATATTTATATTTACTGTTGAGAAGAAAAGAAGTGAAATTACTTAGGATTCTATTTCACAAATGACTGTTAACTTTTTGTCATGTTTATTACATCTATTTAATGATTTTATAAATCAATTATTTTGATTTATGAAGGAAATAATACAAATCAATATTTGTTCTCTAACTTGTAATTTTAAGCAGAAAGTGCATTTAAATTTTTTTCAATGGTATAAACAAAAATGAACAAAAAGGGGTAAAAGGTTTTGAAAAATAACCTTCCTGGAGTTACGAATTATCAGCTGCACTTATATTTTTGAAGTTTGTCGTTTGAAAAGCGATTTATCAAACATCAAAACACAATACAATGGTTTTCCAATACATTTTAACGATTTCGTTTCTGCACATTCTTTGTTGTTGTTTGATAATGTGTCGAACTAGAAAGGATTTTGGTCATTTATGTAGTTCTTTTAAAATAAAGCATTTGGCGATAAGTTTTTTTTCTCTTTCCTCTAGATCCTTCAAGTTCAAATGAACGATTATAAGTATTATTACCATTTCACAACTTTTGTAAGTATATTTTTTGTTTTTCTAATATGTTATCAAAATTTTGTGAATTATAAATATAAATAAAAACACATAAAATTATTAATTTATTATTATGAATAAATTTTAGTATCACTAAAGGACATAAATTATGATTTATATCTTGAGTATTTCTAAGTACTTAGTTAACCAATATAACCACGAATACAGTGGCATTTATAATAGAATTTATACCTACAAATCAAACGATATAAATCATACATTATGGAAGCACGGTTACATATATATATGTAGTAATTGACCAAAAAACCAAGTAATCGCCTTAGCAATAAATATATAAATATTAGCTAAAATATTTTCAGAACTCTGAAGCCATGATTTTAGGATTTCTAAGCTAAAGTTAAAAACTTTAATTCATATAGAAAAGGTGAAGCATTTAAATACTAGGCATTACTTTTATTAAACATGATTGTGAAAAATGTACACTGCGAAAAAAAAGGGGGGTCAGTTCTATATTGCTTGCTTTACTGGGTCGATTGACGAAATTCGACGGGCGTTTTTCTTGTCTAGACAGCACGACTTAGGATATATATTAGATTGATATATAACATCATTCTAATATAGGTATTTTGACACGAAATCGGACTTTTTCTGAAATGGCATGCCAATGTTTTTACACATTTCGATTCTAATCTATTGCATTGATATACTTGTATCAGTTTCAGCGTTAAAATTCTTATGGTACATACAACTGACAAGATGTAATTTTTATGAAAACTAGTGAAAAGTAATGAGTTCACAGTGAGGACAGTCATGAATTAAAATTGATATTAGATGATTTGGTTCGGTTTATTATGACAAAGCATGAGGGCTATCTGCCTAAGGAAAAGATGCCTTCGTGAATTTTCCTTCACGAATAAAAGAAATTTGATCTTATCCCCGTTGTACATAGGTAAAAGCACAAAAAAGACCAAGCAGCCAGCTCGTTCGCCTGGTGTCGAATCCAGGTCGAAATACCAGTAGTTGCCGTTGTAAGAAAAGATAATTGAAAAAAAAAAAAAATGAGACAGTTCTGTGTCTCAAATTCTACTGGGCCACTTTGATAAAATTCAAATTGCGTTTTTCATATCTCGAAAGCCGCGACTTAGGTTATATATTAGATTTATATGTAACATCATTGGCATAATTTGATTCTACGACTCAAATTATGCCAAACTGCCAAGTTTTGTAAAAATCGCGCTAGTAGTTTTTAAAAAATTAGCACTTAAAATATTAGCTCGTCAGTGTTAATTGAATTTAATATATATTTATTAATCTCTGTTTCTTTATTAAACTTACTTGATTTCTTCTTCCAGAATTCGAAATTTAGGCTTAATTCAAGTATAATTCGCACATTTTTTATGATTTATTTTTAAAATTTGTATTTTTAAATATTTTTATAAATTTTCGAAAAAATTCAACACATAAAATTACAACCTATAAATGTATATAAAAATAACCTATAAAAATCTTAACATCATCTTAAGTAAATGTATTTCTATGCACACGTGCAAAAAATTAGGGTTTTTTGTTCACAATTTTCTAAGATATACCTGAATTTACATATTGGAGCGTTTTTTAAATTTGGCATTTTGTTTTTAAGCGATAATACGCCAAATGTGTGGTTTATGCATTTTAGTAAAATTGTTTGAAAGTATGAACGATGACCTTTTTCAGCTCGTCTGCAATGAAAAAATGAAAAGGAAAACAGGTTGCTATAAATTAAGGAGATCACCAAGTAAATTATTCTTGGCGAAAACTGAAAAAATACGCCAAGCTAAATTTTTTGAATTCCTTCGTAAATTTCGCATCAAATTATACAAAATTAAATATTTACGCATAATTTGAGTAGTAGAATAGAAATATAGAAAAAAAAAAACATTTGTCATGTCAGTTCAGAAAAAGTCCGATTTTGTATCAAAATAAAAATATCTATGTTAGAATAATGTTACATATAAATCTAATATATAACCTAAGTCGCGGCTTTCGAGATATGGAAAACGCAATTTGAATTTTATCAAGTGGCCCAGTAGAATTTGAGACACAGAACTGTCTCATTTTTTTTTTTTTTTTTTTCAATTATCTTTTCTTACAACGGCAACTACTGGTATTTCGACCTGGATTCGACACCAGGCGAACGAGCTGGCTGCTTGGTCTTTTTTGTGCTTTTACCTATGTACAACGGGGATAAGATCAAATTTCTTTTATTCGTGAAGGAAAATTCACGAAGGCATCTTTTCCTTAGGCAGATAGCCCTCATGCTTTGTCATATAAACCGAACCAAATCTAATTCAATTTTAATTCATGACTGTCCTCACTGTGAACTCATTACTTTTCACTAGTTTTCATAAAAATTACATTCTTGTCAGTTGTATGTACCATAAGAATTTTAACGCTGAAACTGATACAAGTATATCAATGCAATACCACAAATCACCTGTAAAAGGCTCAGAAATTATCAACAGTTAGATGGAAAATTTAATGAACGTATCATTTGGGACTGCACAGTCTATTAATAAGTATTAATAAATGTTTTTCTGGTTTATGGCTTACATTTTTCAGTAAGGATTTTATGGCAATCAATTTTATGTCAAGGATTTTATGTCTTATAAATGTTTATAAGATTTGTAATACCTCTGGTAGAACTAAACGTATTGGATTTTTTAAATCTAGCAAAATTTGCTGCATATTTCGTGACATTTATTTATGGAATATTGTATAAACTGCAAATTTGGGAAGGAATTTTATAAAGGGAAATTTAAAACACTATCATAAACCACTACAAATATAAGTTTCTGAAAAATGAATAGATGCTGATAGGAGAAAAATTCAGATGACATAAAAAGCATTCTTCAAATAAGTCAAACGTTTTGCTCCAATCCAGCTTACATACACTGATAGATAAATGTTATCACTGGCTGTTAAATAAGGTTATCGGCAAATTCCTTTGGCCAAATAAGAAATATTTGCAATGCATTTGAAAGTAATGTATGCTAACGGCGTCACTGAACCACCCTCTAACTCTTAGGCTTCATTTATCGCCTTGATTCTGAAGAAGGATATCTCCCAGAGGTCGTGTGGGGATTACACGCAATGTCATTACCAAGAAGGATAGTTATTTATTGCCTAAGATCAACATTATCTTAGACATTACGTTGAAAATAAATGCTTTTCTGTTTTAGATCTGAAAATTAGTAACTGGCTAGTAGATATTTAGCCCTAAGTATGAATGAAGATCAGAATTATTGAAAATATTGTTTGGCACTTATGGCGTAGATGAAATGAGATTTAGAAAAAGATAATATTTTACATTTAAAAGACATCTGATGTGGACATCACATTATTTCCTTGTATGGCTTATCAAATGATACACATTTTTTGCTTCATTTGATTTAAATTTATATTTTCGAAATTCATTAGACATATATTTCTCATTCAATTAATTCAGTTTCCCTTCGCGGCAAAGCAAAACTACATAAATACTCAAGACTTAATGAAAAACTGTAGAAGGCAGAAAGACATAAAACACCAAATGCAGTTCAAAAAGCTAAAAAAAAAAAAAAAAAAATTATGATTCGAATTAGTTTCTACTCGATCGGCGGGCAAGATGGCAGATTTTTTGTTGCGCAAAACGCAATGTTTACTTTTGGTCCCAATCGACAAAAAGATACTGAAGGTGCAGAAACGGACTTAATTCACTATTCTAGAGTTTCAAATGTAATCAAATGGTGGTTCGTTAGGCTTAACTCGCCACTTAAACTTTTAAGTTGTTCATAATTATAGAACTACTAGAAAGCCCGGCGGTTATACGAAATGACCGCTGTTCGAGATATTATAAGTTGATGATTATAAATTGATTACAAACAGATGATTTCCAATGCAAACATATGTTTACGTTCCCCCTGACACGCTCAATTTACGTTCAGTTGTAAACCATTTCAAAAACCCATGATTGCTAATGCAAAAAAGTGTTCAATCCCCCTGACACGCTCAATTTGCGTTCAGCTGAAAATTCAGTTTTAGCATGGAGTCTGAGTAAACCTACTTGATGAGATGTACTACGCACAACTCGTTAGTTGGTTTCGTCTCCTTTAATTTCTCAACGTTTGCAAGTTTCTAGATAATTCATACGTAAATACAGTTAAATGCATAATAAGCAATAATTGCATGAATTAGAAATATTTAAATGTTCTTAAATACCATGATAATGTAATTAAAACAATGATAACTGCATCTATGATATCAGTGTATATGGACTATTTGAATGCCGTGGCAACTTGCCCATCACGCATATAATATAGATTGCATGCAGATTAACAAAAGGCATAAAATAATAGAATTTATACCTACAGATCAAATGATTTAAATCATAAATTATGGGAGCACGGTTACATATATACGAAGGATAGAAAAAAAAAACAAAAAAAAAAAAAAAAAAAAAAAAAAAAAAAACAAGTAATCGGCTGCAGTAAATCAGAGTAATATATATAGTTCGATTATATTAGAGTATTATGAATGCTTTTATGGAGTTGGTAACAAGAATTAAAATTCAAAACTAGATGTCAGCCGCTTGCTATTAGTCTTTTGTGTATTATATTTTGTGTGCTGTATGTGTATTTGATTCGCGTTTTGGTCCATTAAGATGTCTTTCCAAATTAAGAAGTCATGTAGGTTTATCTCTAGCCCCCACATGCGTTCTACTGTATATAATAAATATTATTTTCAGAGATTACTAAATACCTTATCACACATGAGAGGAACATAAAAACCTCATAATTCAATCACTTGAAAGCAAAAAACGCACAATTTACCATCGTATAAGAATAAAAACACTAAGTTTACCATGCCAGGTAACAGAATATATGTATCAGCCGATTGCAACAAAAGCGGACGTTCCACAAATACAGGTTATACCAGTCCCATGTACAAAATTTTAACGTTTAACGGCCACTCGTTCTTGAGTTATGCGAGATAAATTCATACGTACGTACGCACAGACGTCAAGAAAAAAAAAATCTCTTCTGAATCCATTTTGCAATCCTTTTTGGCAAAAAGAGTCCTTTATTCTGTGGATAGGTCTTCTGTGGATGTGTCCTTTATTCTGTGGTAGATGGATTCCAGAGTAGTAAAAATGGATATTTTCGTCGGCATATGATACCCGACATTTTTCGCGATTGCAATACTTCCTTTACTTCGTACAAGGAGGTAATAAGTATGTATAGTCCTTATATTAATACAAAAAAAAAAAAAAAACTTTCTCCAATGCGTAACGTAAGAGTTCCTTTTATCAGTTTAAGTACTTTTATTTCACCATTCATCCAAATTTTGTTGACGGATATCTTTTCGAAAACACGCAGATTACTTTCAATATATATCACTGGATGTTTCGAGACCTGGCATATTTTATTTTATATTTGGGCAAGTTTACATATTTCTTCTTCTGCATTTGCAGAATATCAGTGCGTCGAAAATGATCTGTATGATATTTTTGTTTATTTATTTAGTTTAGAACTGGATATGCAGTTTACTTTATAAAATGATATATTTTTCATTGGTAATGAATTCTTTGAACGTTATTTTTAATGTAGAACAGTTGTGATAGAGTGAGTTTTAACATAGGAAAGAAAGCAATGGATTCGCAAAATATTTTCTTTTATCAAAACTAAATTTTTCACAAGTGAGAAAGGTTTGATTAACACAGCCATGTCAATTAAGTTATTAGAAATTCTGTGTATATAGGAAACGTGTATCCATTCGAGACAAAATGTAGAGATTTTGTGTACTAATTCATTAATGCTATTAAATATGTATACCTAAATATAGTATCATTTCAAGTTATTTTTGTCCATTTTAGCGTAAATACAATTAAAATAATATTGAAAGTGACAGTAAAAATAAATCTCATAAAATAATGTTAAACAAATATTTAGTGATAAATGTTCAGAGTAAACTCTGATTTATATTCATTTTATCTCTTGTTCTTTGTAAACTTTTTGCTCTTTCGTGAGATTATGGAATGCTTATTTATTTGGAATATGTTTACAGACATTACTGTATTATACTTAACGTTACTTTTATTTCGCAACCGAGAATGAAGCAATGCTTTGCCAGTCATTTCACGAAATATCACCCATTAAAATGGAATTAAGAAAAAATATTCTAGGAAGGAATTCACATTATTCCGCAATTCACAGAATGATGACTCATATCGCATCCCATATGGCGCCCATGATGTAATTGTCCTAAACGTACTCTTAACATGTTAATACACTTAGTACAACAGTCACTGTAAGTGACGTGACTCTATATATTGTAAATTTAGATTCCCTCTCCGTTGTCATAGCTTATAAAACGACTTATACATTATTATTCCCAATTGAATATAAATGCAAATGTAAGCATTTATACGAGTAGTATAATAGGCTAATGTTGCGTAAGTCGTACCCGTTAAGAAAATTAGGTATAACTCGTAGGATCTAAGAAAAAATAAAAATTATGTGTGGTAATAATATCGTGTGTTCTTGCTGCTGATATTTACTTCAGTAAAATTCCATACAGTTTAATTGCTTTTATAATATTAATAAAATTTCTCAACACGAACTTAATATCACCTAGACAACCAGTATTCTAAATCGTACCATCTATAGATCAAGTCGTACTGCGTTTAAAATTGCAAAATTGTAATACAATTTTCGTTTTCCTCAATTAATTTATTTATACAGTTAAATACAACAATGATGACAAGGTTTTTTTTTCTTTTCTTGTCAACTCCAGTACATAAGTCGTGTAATCGCCCTTTGCACTTTAGGCACTGAATCATATTCCCTTCGCTGTCTTGCTCACAAGTATTACAGGTAGACGAACACGATGTGAAACAATGTGGTTGGCTAGTGGAAACTGGTTTTGCTGGAACAGGCGCAGGAGGTACGACGTCCGTCACCTTACCCCAGATCCAAGAAGGAAGCATCATCTTATGAGCAAAAATAAAATCAGACTTACGAATATTTTAGCACTTTTTAAAACACGCAACTTGAAGTCTCACTTAAATAAATTTATTACAATCACCACGGATGTACATGTGCTGCTGTAATCTACACGTCTTAAGCATGAAGTTTGGTAAAATGTCCTTGTGATTTTCCTCTTTTAGTGCCTTTAAATTATGATAGCAATTATTGGCAACAGCAGCCATTAAAATAAATGCATGTAAAACAAATCAAGCTTAAGGTTTGGAACTTATTTCCTTATTTCGTGTCTTTCGTATGTTTAAAAAAAAAATATCTTTCGAGCATAAGCACAGCTTAGCATTTTCAATCATGGAAATAGTTAATATTTTATTTTAGTTAAAAAAAGTAGAATAAATTTCAATCTGCAATTCCATTTTTTATCCGCAGTTCGAATGACAAATTTATTTTTACTTCACAGATTGTCGCAAGAGCGTTTTCTCCAGTTGCAGCTGCAGTTATGAGGGATAAAACTGAAAAATAGTTAAATGAAAAGAGCATATTTTATATTGTCACAGTGATGGATGCGTGCTATTACCAAATTAGAAGAGGAGAAGAAGGCCTTTTTCGCTCCAAGAACTCCCGAAGGAAAACCGGAAAATTGCTTTCAGACTTCAAAACCGAATTGAACTTTAAAAATGTATCATCTTGCGCTAAATTTAGCACCTTGAAGAGCATGTTTTACATCGAATGAAGCCAAAGGTATTTTAAAAAGTGTGGATTCTTTTGAAGCGCGTAAAATGCGATCTGCAAAGGTTGACGAAATTCTTTTCAATGGAAAAATGAAGGAATATAAGCTTTCGAAGTTTTGAAATACGCAAAAAGTGCATTTTAGTATCTCTTTCGAAGAACATGAATAAATGCTTTATATTAATGAGGAAAAGAAAACAATTGAGTAAAATTTATTAACTTGCCCACATAAATTTTAATACAGTAAATCTTCCAAACTGATTGATTTAAAACTGACATATTATGTGAATTGATTTCTAAAGTGGAGCAGATAAATCACAGAGTAATCTGAATGCGAAATTTTATTATCTTGCCTTGCATCGTTTATTCATTTATATATTTATTACTATTATTAGTCAAAAGGGGCAATTTGTTAATTTGTTAATTTTGTTAATTTTGTTTTGTCATTTTGCGTCGATTCATTACAAGCGTTGTTTCACTTTTCAAATTGTTGCCACCAAATATTATCGCCCTGTATTATATTTAAAGAAATTAAATAATGAAGAATATGCATAAATATATGCATGTTTCTCGCATTGTGATAAAACAAGGTACTTAAAGCCGTTAAAATTTGAATAACTTAATCCTCATGCGAAAATGGGCATCTGAAGCCCAAATTTGAAATTTGGAATTCGTTTTATTATCGATTTCACATTTTGTAACCCTTTAACGAATTTTTATTAAAAATTAGGGATTTCAAAGCGAGCAATGACAACGCTGTACAGAAAAACATTTTTATCTCCAGCGGGCGAGACTGTGTATCGGAAATTTTAAAGATATACTCATTTAAAAAATATTTTGCGATATTGCTGTTGAACTGAATTTTATGGTTTAAGTTCGAAGAACATGATATCTAATAAATAAAAGCAACACACAAAAATTTAAAAAACGTTCCTTTGGGCGTAATTGAAAACCTGAATCTTTTCAGATTTTAAATTACGCCACCTTGTATAAAAGTGCTCAAACATGAAAGTCACGCTCTTAAATGACTTTTATGTTTGAGGTTTTCTTATATTCAGGCCAGTATTATAAATAAATGTCTCAATATGCGATGTTTAAGTCAGTTATTTGTAATTTTAATTTTTTTAGGATTTAGAAACTTACAATTTAGAGGATTTCAAGTACAATTTTGTAAATATGACGTCCTTCCGAATGACAGACAATGACCAACGGATTGTGAGACAAGCCTTAAAAGAAATGGAAAAGTTTCAACCCGTTGGGCAGCATATTTTAAATAGAACAAATATAATAAAAGTAAGAACATAGAAAATTATTTATTAACTCTTCATAATATAAATAAATTCTAGATATAGTATTTATAGCACATTTCAAAAGAATGTATCATGTAAAAATATTACTTCATATAATTAGGTATTAGAATGTAGGTTAAACGTTTAACGTTTGATGCCGCAGGAAATCGTTTCATACTATCATGAAAATCAAACACAACTAGATCTAGAAACATCAGTCGTTAAAAGCCTATTAGACTATTCATAAACACATATTTAAATGCGAGATATCTACAAATTGGAATAAAGTAATTGTTAATTTAATTAGTATCAGTATATAATAGATATAACTTAATTTGAATGGTTAGCTTAATTTTGGTTACTTCTGTAAATTTTAGGGCCTATTTTCAAGGTCATTGAATAAACAATAATTACTGACTAAAAGTTTCAGTCAAAGGTAATTTCATTCTGAAAAAAATAATTAAAATTTCATGAGAATAAAATTGTAAGGACTGAGCGAATGCTAAAAATATATTCTGCAGAATATGCGCTAAACACACACATGTTAAATTCCGGCACAAAAATAGGGCATTATTTATTTATTTTTAATTTGAACAATAAAATTTGTCAAAGTAATAACATTCAGTCTTTAATAAGAATATTTTAAGTTAATTCTGTCCTATGCCTCTATTTCTTTTGTCAGCTTCATCAAGTTGTAAATTGAATAGTATTTAAACAGCAAAACAAGGTGAACATTGGAAGAGAGATCTTGCAATGACGCAAAGCAATTTCATTGAATAAGAAATATAATTGCTGACGTGTACTGACGTCAGCAATTCCTTTTATGATTGAAAACCTTTTACCCACACTCCAGTCTTATTTTTATACGTTCATTCAAATGATGTTCTATTTTAAAGAGCTTAAATAACACTAACTGTAATAAATCTGATTTGTAGCATCAACTACATTTAGTTCACTGAGGGAAAATGTTATAACTTTTAATAAAAATTTAACGGAAAAATTTAATGGCATATATAGTTTTTAACATTGAAAATAATACACGAAGATTTTGATGGAATATTTTTTTTAATTTCTAAAGAGAGTCTGACATTTATAGGTTTATTAAATATCCTTAAATTCTTTTGCATGGCTTGGTTATAACTAATAAAAGTATTTCTAGAATAATATCAATTGAACTCTGCCAAAGAATGAAATTCTTACATTAGAAGAATGTAACGCATAATTCTTTTGCTACTAATTTTATTCAAAAGTTGTGCATTTACAGGAATTTTAATGTAATTCTAAAATAATTGTGAAAGAATATAGCTATTTATGAGAATACGTTTGCTACCGCGGATATGTCTGTATGTTATATGGAAGCCATTTTCGAATCATAAAAATAATATTGTATGTGTTACAGGTCCAGCCTGCTCTGATGTTCGATTCGGTCTACGCTTTAGCACAAGGTCTTCATTCTTTGCAACAAGGAACTGACTTGAGGCCAGCTAATGTATCTTGCGAAGAAGAAGTACCTTGGACAGATGGAAGTAGTCTTTTCAATTATATAAATTCGGCAAGTTTTTTAAAGAATTTAAAAATCATGTCTTACATTTGTGTTTCATTCTAGTATCTCATAATACAGGATTCCGCTTCTAATACGTTTTATTATCCATTATTCGTTCCCCCTCTTTTTTTAACTGGAAATTTTTGGAATTTAAGGCAAGGATTTGTTTTTCACATTTTTTATGACAGCAACAACAATAGATATTAAACTGTAAGGTTAGTTAGTTACTTACTTCTAAGCACTGGCTCCCAGCGCACCTAGCAGGCGAAACCTGCCATATGGCTATGAGGGGACAGGCCAAGCCACAAAGCCATAAAAAAAAAAAACGTAAAGTAGATACATACATTCTAAACATTCTCGGTGACATAGTATATAAACGTGTCGTTTCCATTTCTGTGTTTTAAGTTTAAAATCTTTATAAGTTTTACTTTTAATTAGTTATTATTATTCAAATCTTCTTTATATCATCAAAATTCATCTTAAATTTATAAGTTACCTCAACTATTTCTGTTTTCAGTATGATTTTTTCCTTTGTTATATCTCGATACCAATATTCTTCTTATTCTCATTCACAGTTTGCATAATATCCCTTGCAAATTTTCTAAACAATGTATAGTTACTAAATAAATCCTTCAAACTTCGCAAAATTATATTTTTCTCTCACACTTCCAGTGAGGCAACAGTCCTCGACGAAATGCTTTGAATCGCCGAATTCATTACAAAATTTACATATATCATTTCCTGGAGGTGGAACTTTTTTAAGTAAGCAGGGCAACCTTCCATGTGCAGTGAGAATTTGATTGACATCTGCATCTCCTAAAATTCTCCACTTTTTTGCTAATTTTTAAACATTTTAGATAGTATTATATGTTTCTTTCAGAGAGATCCCATAAATTTTTCCAGTTTCTAATAAGCTGTCATATATTATAGAACATGTCTTCTTTTTTTGAATCTTGAATAAAACCTTTTCGGTCCCAACCCCTAGGAAGGTTTCTTTCGCTAGAGCATCCGCTCTCTCATTCCCATAATGACCAGCGTGAGCTTTGATCCAATGTAAATTCAAAATATGCTTCTTTCGTACTTCTAAATGTATATGCTTAATTTCATTAACATTATTATTCTTTTGAAAGGGGCGGGAGAGGTATTTTCTTCCTCCTTTCAACATGCATTCGGGGTGTAACGCTTAACTCACTCGGCGCGTATCTTAGAAGTCCAGGTTCGAGTCCCGGCGAGGGCATTGCTGAATTTCCATGTCTCCCTTATAAAAAATAACCTAATTTCTCTATAACACTAACAGAAAAATACAACTGAAAGTTGTTAAACTAACAAAATTTTGTCCTTAAACAAATTTCCTATATTGTGAAGTGCAAGAGGATTGTATGTTCCAAATCTAACATTTCATAATGCAAAAACAGTTTTGCAAATACAATTTATTGGTTATTACTGCAAAAATCTGAAAGATATTCACCGGGTATTCCTCCCTTTCCGCACGTAATGAGTAAAATTAAAGGTTCAGTTAAAATACGTGGTGGCTGCTTTGGCCTCATAATATTGTTTGTGTAATTTTATGCTTGGAATTCTTTCGGGAATAATAACTGCAGTTGATTTCAAGGTGATGATTTCTGCTTAATCTTTGAAAGCATTTTGCAAGTACAGGAAGAACAAGGAGAGTGATGATTACACATATAAGAAATTCAAAATGCCATTCTGAACATTAATTTTTGGTAAATATATTATGCCCTTAACATTTAAATTTTAAAATGGCAATGCTAAAATTAAGACATGTTAATGGTAATTAAGCTGTCCCCATGAGAATCAAAAAGTTGATCCTAACTAATATTAAATTAGGTTCTGGATATTTGCAAAAATTCCCCTGAAATGGTTCAAAATATAAATACTGGCATGCATCGAGAAATCTTAAGCTAATAATAATATTAAATTCTTCATTTTTCCTGCATGACCAGTATAAAATGACACTGAAGGATAACATGTAGAATATGGAAGGCATCATTTGTCCATACGTATTTTAAAATTTTGAGACTAATACTTATCTTCCATATTTATAGGAAAGAATGAATAATCTAAAAACATAAATTAACTCGCTCTGATTTGGTTGGTTATTTCTTAATTATGGCTTAGTTTAATTAAGATAGTACATGCTTAATACATAGATTAATTAAGTTTCTCAAAACTAAATGCAGTTTCGAGCAAAGGTATTTTCTTTCACATCTGTTACTTAAGAAATTTAGAGGAATTTATGCAATTCTATCAAAGAAAAGAAGATTTTAGAAAAAATATTTAAAAATAAACTTAATACACAAATGGTTACTAGTCAGGTTCAGAAATCGTTGGGAATTTATAGCGAAAGAACATACCACGAAGCTCTAAAGCCTATGGTAATCGGGTATTGTTGGTAAACCTAAATTAAGTATTATTAAATTGTTTGTCCTGCAGATAAATAAAATGTTAGATTGTTTGGCAATTGTGTCACTTCGGTTTGTTTATGTGTTAAAGCTGCTTTAGTCAGTCTGAATGTTCCCAAAGCCTACTCGATGTTATTACAATCAACTGGCTTAAGTCTGAGAAAACACCAAATGTCCGCTTTGAAACAGGTAGTTAATAATAAACACAATCACCCATTACGAAGTATAATATAATTATTTATCTGTGCCTCCAATAAACTACCAAAGTTGTCTGTCATGTGGCTGGTGATAGGCGTAGAATAGCATAATATGTAAAGGATTGTGCATTAATGATACTGTCACTGTAGCTTCGTTTCCTGCCATTCAGAATTACGTATCTAGGTATCCTGGGCAGGCAATGTTAAACCCATCATTTTAAGTACCTGAATAAGGCTGAACTTCCTCGTTGGCGTCCATTTCGATGTCTACATTCAATATTGTTAGACATCACAACAACTACTGAGTTGCAATAATAAAGCTAGTAGAGTCATTAGGTATTTTGATGCTGGAGATGTAAAAAAACGGACAATGCCGCTGCCGGGATTCGAACTTCGGACTTCCCGAATGCGCTTCGAATGTTGTACCAGTTACTCCATGGCAGCACGTGGAAAGAAAGGAGAAAATACCCTATATACTTCTGCTTTTCAAAGCGAATGGGGATAAGGGACCCAATCGGCTAAACCTAGCAGTCGCGAATTATCGTACACCATCTTTTAGTTCGAGTGCCACTGTAAAGCCATTACTCTTTTTCCGATGTCAGGTAACTCAAGAAAATCGGAATACCCTCACAGGGATTCGAACTCTACATCTCTCGAATATGCGTCAGGTGCGTTTCTAGTTATACTACGAAGGCATGCGAAAGGGAAGGAGATAATACCTTTTAAGTTTAATAGGATTTGAGTCCTAGAACGTTTTCAGCACAGAAACACGATTACTGCTCGAATTATCAGAGAATTCACATGTGGAGGAAGCTTGCCAGGGCTTCTCACATTAAGTGACTGCAGAGGAGGAGCTATTTTCTATGGTATCCAGTCACAAACAGTGATCTTCGTAGAACATGGATATTCCAAAGTAGACTGATGATATTCCACGATATATTATGTTGCTACTTCTGTCGTTTCTGCCAGGAGCTATCTTTTGATAATAACTTCACCTCCGCAAACAACATCCCTCTCCAACGAATACCTGAGTAGGGTACTTCGTTGGCCTGTCTGATCTTCAGGACGTAACAATCACATGAAGAATAAGTGGCGTTTACAATTATATATCATTTATACATTTAAGAGATCAAACTTCACGCTGCTTCTTCTACCTTCTTTAAATTGTATTTTTTCCGTTAATCCTAGATATTCTACCTGAAATGAAATAAAAGAACTTTCTTTTAATCACAGTGGCGTTTACAATTATATATCATTTATACATAAACCTAAAGAAGATGTTCTGAATATTTGGTTGAACGGCGAGGATAGCAGCCGTGAAATCCCATCATTTCAAGAATGATAGGATTTCACAGGGCAATAGGTTTTACAGAGCAATATTCAATGTTGACACGAGTCCATGTGAGATCGAATACCCTTAATGTACCCATGAGAAGCGGCTATACAACGCAGCAGCCTGTGATATTCCTAAAAATGTGTTTGTTTTTGAACGTCACGAAATGTATTAATTATTTCTTCATCATTTTTATCTTGTTACAAACATCATTTTTCATTGTGGCAGTAGGCCCACCAGCGGCCGAGCGGTAAAGTCGCTGAAGACTGGTAGTTCAGTTCGAGGTTCGAATCCTGCGAACGGGCTGGCTGCATGGGTGTTTTCGTGGTTTTCCCCATGTGTAACGTGTATACGAGCCAGTTTCCCTAAGAAAGTCCTCCACGAAGGCATCCCTCCCCTTAGGCAGATAGCCCTAGTGTGCTTTGCCATAATTAAATACACCAACATCATTGTGGCAGTATATTTCTTCTAACTACGATGACTTTTTAAAAGAAAAAAATGTATACTTTGTAGCAACATTAGGTTATTTCGAAGCAGAAGAAAGAAAAAATATGCAATGCCCTCACCGGGACTCGACCTTGGACCTCTTGAATGCGCCCCGAGTGTGCTACCGTTACGCTATGAAGGGATAATGGAAGGAGGAAGAAAATACCTTATACTATTTCATTTAGATATGAAAGATTATTTAGAAATTTATGATTTTCGAATGATATTTATGCTAACATAAAATTATACTAAAATAAAAAATAATACATTAACTCTAATTAAAATGTTTTTTATCAACTGTTAGAGATGTGTCTAATTCGAACTAATTATTTTCCTGGAAATCAATTCCAAATTAATCCTCTATTTAATTTTATTGTCTCACAAGATTATTTTAGACTTTTAATTGTTAGAAAGATTTTTAAGGTAACTAATAGCATCATTTTGAAAAAAAAATTTCACAGTAGAGTTAATAAACTCAATGACCAGTACTTCCGTTAGTATTTATTGCATATTAAAGTATTTATCAGCAAAATTAAAAGCCATACTTTCAATGGCATTAGATTTCCTTAATATTGGTATAGAGACTTATTTCACTTGGAATTCAGCTTATTTCATGTTACGAGAAGCAATTCTTTAATCTTACTTATTGAAATTTTATCTTTACTAATCTTTTGAAAAGATAGTTTAAAGGAGTATTACATTATTTAAAGTTTAATGCAATAATTTAAGGTGTAAGTTTTTAAAAAATACTAATAATAATTTATGTGCTCATGTTGTCAATTAACATTTTCAAAAAAATATTTTATTTAGCTAAAGTTCTTTTATTTCATTTCAGGTAGAATATCTAGGATTAACGGGAAAAATACAATTTAAAGAAGGTAGAAGAAGCAGCGTGAAGTTTGATCTCTTAAAATTACGAGAAACTAACTTAGAAAAGGTGAGTCGTAGGGGTTTTGTACATAACAATTCTTACTTCTAACTGTTATAATCTCCGACTGCTGTTAATAGAGGTATGCAGTCAAAAATGCTGAAATCGAAAGATGAGAAACATAGATATTATTTAGTGACAAACATAATATTGAAGTCGTTTTCTGTTTTTATTTCTTGTAGAACACACACATTTCCCAACACGCAAGGATTATTTTGTGATGAGTGAAAAAACATAATTCACTCAACATGTTTCTCTGGTAATTGTACTTAAGACGGAACTACTCAAGACTCATATTTTCTGTTCATTAGGAAATATGAAGGTCTGCCAGCAGCCAAGCGGTAAAATCGTTGAACTTTGGTAGTTCGGTCTGGGTTCGAATCACGGCGAACGTCCTGACTGCATGGACGTCTTCATGGTTTTCCCCATGTGTAACGAGCTGGTTTCTCTTAGAATGTCGTGCACGAACGCATGCCTTCCCTTGGGCAGATAACCCTTGTGTGCTTTGCCACAATTAAACAAAATTAAACAAAGCGAATCTAAAAAATTATATATATATATATTTGTATTAGTTCAAATGTAAAGAAATATCTTAAACCTCTTAAGAATCTCAAAGGCTAACCCATCGTGTGTGAGCAGACTATAACTTTAAAAATGTATTAAAATACTTCTGATTCATAAATTCTTCTTATATTAAGTTATTCGTTTGGTTTTAGTCCAGCTATTTCATTTAGGCCATTTTGTTATCATCATTATTTCAAAACACCTTTAATACATCAAGCATGTAGTACTCGAGAAGACATTTAGCTAGAGATATATTTTACATTCTGAAAGAGCTTCTAAAATGCAGATTCATCATATATGTGAGCTCATTGTTTTTATTCGGAATAATACGTTGTTTTGGAATTTCATATTATCATTATCTTTCAAGACGGGTGATTAATGCATCATTTTAGATGCATTAAGTAATTCCAAGACAGAAAATAAAAGTGAAAAATTATGTCAAGCATTCGCGTTGTAGTCGCAGATTAAAGCGTCATTTCAAATTACTTTATAAACGATGGCATATTCCTTAATTCTCTGCCTGGTCTTTGTGTCTGTTTAAAGAAAACGTCGTTGCAGGCAAATTCAATTACATAAATTGTGAGTTTATGCTTTTGTTTGCAACGATAAGCAAAACGTTGTGACAAAAATTTAAGATGTGCATTTGGCTTTTATCCAAGAAAAAAAAAAACGAAAGCTATTCGAAAGAAATTGTTATTAACTTGAGTTATTGTTAGAGTATTTTAATCAATTAAAGCATAAAACGTAACGTAATTGCATAATTAAGCATTCTTGAAATTTATTTTATTTCGCATTATCATTCTGGCAAAGCATAATCAAAATCCTGTAATGTTATTAGGTAGAAAACAGATGTCATTCATTAAACGTGCCTTGTTTTTTATACGAAACTATAAAAATTTTAAGTTAAACTCATTACATGACATTCATTAGGTTTCTTATAATGTATGGTATTTTGCAACGGGAATTCTAAACATTAAGTATAGGTGCTGGGGAATGTTTAAAACATTGGTTACATCGTGATTTCCATAAAATTGATTTCTTTAGATTTAAAATTTAAAAAAAAAAAAAAATCTTTGCGTCATTCAAAATATTTTTGTGATTGGAAGCATGTGTCTAAATACCGGTGCGAACATAAAAGCCGATTAGGGATTTTGTCAATACGGGTTACAAACAGGGTGAATATGAACAAGTGGGCGAAACTTTAAGGGGTGACAGAAGGCAGCAATGTTCGTCACAGAATTTATAGTCGGAACGCAAACGGCAAGCCGCCAGGTGGCATTGTAAATAACTGGTATAAAAAACGTCCGTCCTCGTACTCAGCGGCATTTTCTAGCATGGACTGCCTAGGAGAATGCTGGTTATTCGAACCGCGAAATTTCCAGGGCAATGGATTAGTCGAGGTGTTAAATAGAAAAAAAAATTATTTGGGTGTTTTAATACCTTTAAACTTTAAACTTTGCTGCAAGGTGCCGGACAAAATTACCAAAAAAAAAAAAAATATCAAAAAATAAAATATCAAATAATTCAAAACATTCAAAATCTATTTCATAATAAACAAAAATCATATCGCATTCTTATAAAATTCGTTAGTGGTAGTACAATTTAACTTTAGGAAGGTTGCGTTGGAAACCTATGTAAAAGGAAATATCAATAACTCCAATTCAATTAAATCCATGTTTCTTAAAAGCCTCCCGGCTCAAACAAATGGAGGGACCTGACAGACCACAGTAAATTATACACTAAATTAAACTAATGAAACATTAAATATATATCAAACACATTTATTAAATTCTTGAATATATTATATTATTAAACAATGGATAAATGATCAGTAATCCTACCACATATTTTTCTATGCAAAATAACACATAATACCAGACCAAATTACAGCTTACATTAATTAAGTTTAACATTATAAAATCCTACTGTATCATAAGTGTAACACTAGTATTTCTCCCATTTCATCTTCTAACTTTAAGTATTTATCATGGTAATTCACTTTAAGAACACTGATAATTTCCACATCGATTAATTAATTTAAGTAATTGCTCAAATTTCAACAAACATTAAAATGACGACTCTTGCTTGAGTATTAAGATAATTATTAAAGTAAAACAAGTAAAAAAAAACAAATCACTCACGGGGTGATGTCCAAACCGTAAACTTTCAATAATATTTTTTATACCTTCGTATACTGATTAATAAGGCGATTTGACAGCTCCACAGATCGTCCAGCATCCAAAGTTTACTCGAGCACCACATTATTCCTGCTGTCCTTTATTCACAAAATCCTCGTTAATGGAGACAGACAGTTCTTGCAAATTTTAAAGATGACTTGGTTGAAACACCACTGAAGCTGTCCTTACAATTAAATAAATTCCAGAGCATGGAATGAATGGAAAAAAAAATCGACGCAGCTGGCACAGGCAGAATTAAACAGCAATGCACACCTTAGAAGGGTCCTACACGAGTCTCTTTTCATTCTGGAAGCCCGAAACTCACCATAAGCGTAGAGCACCTTTGGAACAAAATCTAATTAGGAAGTCAAAGCCGGTAAAAAACAGGAATACCGCATCAGGATGTCAGGATCACCAAGAGAATCTGCCCGAACAATTCTTGGGATAAGAGAAATCGAAATTCTTCTGCTGAGCTCTATGCCATATGCCAATGCAAATTCTCGCCAGCTAAACGCCGTAGAGAAAATCATACCCTGCTGCCCACTGTTCACGCGCTTGCGAGAAGCAAGACCCGAAGGGTCAAGCCCCCCCTTTTCTCCTCTTACTCTTCTTGCAAAAATCAGAATCAGAATGAACTTTTTAGCCTGGTGCACAAGCACCCAGGAAATCTCAGGTTTCTCCGCCTCTGTGAGTTTATAGGCTTTCAAAAAATCATCAAATTAAACCTTACTAATGCCCGGAATTTTACGTTATCTAAATTGAGAAAATGACACACCCATGATGAATCAAACACCAAAAAATCTGACAATGCAGTCCGAAAAACATCTGCACTCACATAACGTGAGAAAAAAATAGACCCCCAACTAACAAGCGAAACTAGCTTTTACGAGTATCCAATTATTTAACTTAGTACACCTCCCCTGTCTTGAAGTAAGAAAACAGCCAAAGCGACAGGAAAAACGATTTCCGTTTCACACGCATTAGCTAAAAAGGCGACAATAACATACCCTACTACCTTCATTGTTGGAAAGGCCATAAACCAGATGTGTGTCCTCGCAACCGTCTCTCGCCCTTTGTCACACTTCCAACTCAAGAATAATGAGTTAAGTAAAACCTTAAGAGCTTAAGAATACTTTTTTTCCCAGATTAAAATACACATGAATACAAATAAAAATATTAGAATAATAATAATTTAGAACACATATTAATAATTGAAATTCTCGACATAACAGAGGTGGTCCCCTAGCTTGGCCACCAAGATCATCGGATCTCTCGTGCTTGAACTTTTTCCTGTGAGGCCATATGAAAAGACTAATCCACAACTGCCTCTTTGAAATTAATATGGATCTAGTCGCCAGGATCACCGTTGTTGACCTCGATATTCGATTATTGCGTGGTACCTTCGCAAATATTCTTCAATCCCTATCCCTCAGGTGTGAGGCCTGGATTACAGATGGCGAAAGGTCTTTGGAGTTTCTTTGAGCATTCTGTTAATAAAGTGTTTTCTGAAGTAGCGCCTGTCATTCTTGTGTTAATTCTTTAAATGTGACAGCGGAAAATAACTCTTTAACTTCTCACCGTTCCATTCCGATCATACATTCTATAACGAAAATTGCTCGCTTGCTTTCTCTCACCCCCTAAAGTTTTTACCACTTGCTCAAATTCACCCTGTAAACAGGGTATTTCAGCATGTCGTTTGCAAACTCTCAGTCATTATAGAAATAGAGCACACCTAGACGATGGAAAAACACATAGCAATGCGTGGTCGTAAATGCTTTGCTGGAGCGGTTGTGATGACACAAAACACAAGATAGGAAGGACACGAACAGGGTGAGAATATATTTTTATTATTTTTTGCAGCCGAATCAAGAAATAAGAGCATAAATAGTTGATCACCTTAAAGAAGGTATTCGAAATCACTTTCGAAACATATCCTCAACAAGGAATTGGCTGGGTTGGTCTGATGCATCGGCAGACACAATATCATCCTCATCTGGAATTATGCTATTTTGTAAATTACTTAAATTATTTGTATTATTTTTAATTATTTCTTATTTTGAACCATTACAAAATATGACTAATACATATCCTTGAGTCGCTTTCTTTTCTGATTGTCGCTTTCGTGCTGAAATATAAATTTATGAAGTGACTTAATATTCCTTAATTATTTTATATTTGAAAGCAACTTCTATTTCTTTTATATTCACTAACTTCATGTTGTGTTATATTACAAAATTCAAATTTTTAAAGTTCACTTACTCGCATCAG